TCTGTTTTCAATGTGTCCTATTATTTTTACGTGGTTATATTATGTAGCGCAAATACATATAAAATTCACAAATATATAATATTTTATATATATTATTTACAAACTATATATTGTATATAATATAGCACAAATATACATACTATTTAAATAGAATGCAGAATAACGTCTGTATTCTATTTGATTGCCTTGCTTTGCTCACTGAAATAATTTACATTTTTAGTAGGCCACATCAATAGAATTTGAATGTGAGAAAATTAACTTTTATTTTTTTTTAGTTGGAGGTCCTGGGGATTGAACCCAGGACCTTGTACATGCTAAGCACACGCTCTAACACTGAGCTACATCCTTCCCCGTAAACTTAATTTTTTAGAGCAGCTTCAGGTTTACAGCAAAATGGAGCGGAAAGTCTGAGTTCCCGCATACGCCATCCCCATACACACAGCCGCCCCACCATTAGCATCCCACATCGGTGTGGTTCATTTGTGCCAGCTGATGAACCAACACTGGCACGTTATTATCCACCAGAAGAGCAGTGTTGTTTCTACACCGCAGTGCGTCTAAGGGCCGTGACTGAAGGTCCATCCAGCGCTGCCGCTCTGTCATCTTCTCTCCAGCCTTGCTGCCCTGACTATGGTCCTCAGCCCTGCAGCGGAGGCTCGCCTGGGGGTGGAAATGCAGACTCAGACCCCAGCCCAGGGCTGCTGACTCCTAACCTGCTTTTCAGAAACACCTCCAGGTGACCCATAGGCCTGCCTGCTCTCCGGGAAATAAATTGGAGGCACCTTAGGGAAAGAACCAGACCACCAGAAAGACTGTAAACACAGCAACTTCACAGGCTCCAGGGCTAGGCTGCCGCTGGCTCTGGGGAGGTGACGCCTTCATTTCTGACCCTGTCACTGAAGAGAAGTCCGGGTGCCAGATGCGCAGTGAGGCCCAACGAACTGAAAGGTGGGAGTCTGGAGCAGAGAAAGGGTGATCGCGTGGCCGAGAAGGGAAGGTGGGCGGCTCGAGCTTGGAAAAACCCGAACTCTGATGGTCTGAGGGGCGAAGCTTCACAGGCAGAACCTGGGGTTTGGGCAGCAGGGCGTGTGCCTTTCTTCTGCTTGGCTGGTGTTACCTCAACAGGGTGGGGCTCCAGGAATCTTGGGCTCAGCCTGGAGCCACGGTCCTCCCCCGGGTGGGGGCCTGGGTGGGGGCCTGCAGGAGTTCCTGCAGGAGAACTGGAAGTGTTTCCAGTATGGCCCCTGAGGAGGAGGCAGAACCCTTCCCCAAGGCTGCTTCATTGTTTCCCGGCCGTTTCTCCCTCATTTCCACGTTTCTGAGTTCTCTCCCCCAGTTAGCAACTGTTTGGATCTGCCCTTTGGAACTCAGGGAAGGTCAAGGAGGCTGATTGAAGCCCATGTCCTACAAAAGAGAAACGGGGCACAGAAAGGGTTTGTGCCGGGTGGGGGGGGACCCCACGAAGTCCTGCTCCATTTCAACCTCTCACATCTGAGAAGATGGAACTTATTTACTTTTATGCATTGTTTCTAGAAACAGCAGGCGCCTGATGGACTTGCCAGGTGACCGGTGAGCAAATGGGCAGAGCTGGACGTTCCTGTCTCCTAATGACCTGATACGAAATTACAGCCTCTTATCTACTGCGATCTCTGGATTCGGGCAGAAGTAATTTCCAGGTCCCTCTCTGCTTAGCCCTGGGCACGTTCCCCCGCTGTCTGACTCTGCAGGACCCTATCTGAAGAAAGGCTGATGACCCCTGGAGGGCTGTTTCCAGAATGATGAAATCCTGGAGGAGAGCATTCGGCACAGCGCTGGACTTTGGCAGGGGTGTGGGATGTTTCAAAAAGGCAGTGTTGTTTTATCAAGTCACAGGACAGGACACCTTCATGGTTGCCGTGTTAGTGCAGGCACGGGGGCGCTGTGACGGCGTGAAGTACACTTGAGCTACTGCAGTGCATCACAGATGCTTAGAATGTGGTTTATTCAAGTAACAGAATAGCACCCAAAGTGGCCACAGACTCTGCTCACCTTTACAAACCCCGAGAGTAACTTTTACCGTGAGACCGTGAACAACCCAGGAGGCCTGGAATCAGAGGCTCCAGTCTGTGAGAACTTTGGACAAGTCAGTGACTCTGTGGGTGGTGGTTTCCTGGTCGGGGAAGACAGTTTGCTGAGCTGAAGAAGAAAAAGGCTTTTGTCTGCGAATCAGTTAAGATGCTTTCTTCTGCGAGCGACTCTGCTTCTGGTCACCCCCATCCTGCCCTCAGTGTCCTCTCTCGTCTTTTGTTGAGGATCAGATTTAAGGCTTTGGCCATTTTGGTGAGTTACTCAAGTTTTTCTGGGTGTCCCCCAAGTACACATGTTATTAAACTTTCGTGTGATTTTCTCCTGTTAACCTGTCTCATGACAATTTAATTCTCAGGCCAGCGGAAGCACCTAGAAGGGCAGAGGGAAATGTCTTCCTTTCTGACACAGGGAGATTTATTCCAGGAGTCAGGGGTGGTTAAACATTAGGAAAGCTATGATGAACTTAAGTGAATATCCTAAAAGGGTAATTTTAAAGATACTAAAAAAATAAATCTGACAAAAGTCCACTTTAATACATGATTAAAAAAAAATCTCTTAGCAAGTGAGGGTCCACGTATGAACATAATAATGACTTTCCCAAAACTCTTCATAAAGTCCATCAGTGACTCATGGAGGGGGATCAGAAGCTGGTCGAAGTAGGGGTCTGGGTGAACCGGGAGACACCGGGTTTTAACGCGTGAGCAAACCCGCAGATGCGGCGCGTGTCAGTCAAATTCCAGCACCTCCGGGGGAGGGCACAGCTCGCGGGCAGAGCGCGTGCTTAGCGTGCACGGGGTCCTGGGTTCCTCCCTCAGTACCTCCAGGAAAAAATAAAAATTAAAAAAATAAAAATAAAATCACAGACCTCCCCCCAAAATAAAGTGGGGGAAAGAAGCCCGGCGCTCGGGTCGCGCAGGCGCGCCCAGCAGCGGCTGTGACGCAGCCCTCCCGGGAGCCCAGGGCCTTCCCCGCAGGCGGCACGCGTGTGAGCCGGGCCCGCGGGCGAGGGCCGTCCCCGCTGCCCGCCCTCCCCTTCGGCTTGTTGCCGCGTGCTAACTGCGCTATTTTAAAACTACCAGCCAACAGAACTACCGCTCTCCCCACCACTTTCTGAGGGAAAAAATTTTTTCCCGTATCTTTGTTTACAATTTCAAACGCTTTTACAATCACCGCTAACCTTCTTACAGTGTGAAATACGAGCATGGACTAAACCCTGACGCGTTCATCGGAAAAGACAGGTCCTCCGCGAGAACACCACGTTCCGCGCTTACAGACGGGGAAGCGGGGGC